TCTCCCGCATGTGCGGCATCACACCTACGGTACCCAATCCGCAGGTGCGGAAATACTAGAAGCAGCAAAAGTTCAGCAGCTGCAAACATTCCTCAAACTCCCCGTCGAACACCCAAATCATCCCGAGGCCTCTGGGACCTCAACCAAAAATACAAACACATCCTAATACCTTATTCAAACTTGTACCAATCTTCAAAATACCTCAAACAACATCAAATCAACCAAAACACATCGGATTCAAGCCAAACTTTCTAAAATCTTTCGAATTCTGCTTTTGATCAAAAACCCAACAAAACCACGTCCAAATGACCTAAAATTTTGCACACATTCCAAATTACACTATGGAACTATTTCAACTCTCGGAATTCCATTCCGACCCCTATATCAAAATCTCGCCTACCAACCGGAAATCGCCAAAATATAAACTTCACCAACTCAAGCCTAAATCTAATCCGAACCTCTAAAACTCACTCCGATCATGCTCCTACGTCAAAAATCACCTCCCGAAGCTCACCGAACCATCGGAACTCACATCCGAGCCCTATAACATATAAGTCAACATCCGATTGACTTTTCCAACTTAAGCTTCCTCAATAGAGACTAAGTTTCTCAAACCTTACCAAAATCATTCCGGATTCGATCCGACCAACCTGATACCACATAACACGGATAAACAAAGCATAAAGAAGCAGAAACGGGGAAAACTGAGTGGTAACTCATGAGACGACTGGCCGGGTCGTCACACAATTATAATTTAGTTCCCATATATATATATATATATATATTATTACTAATATAATAGTCAACTTAACTAATATTTTAGTTCTTTGAATACAATGTAATTTATATTTAATAGTAAATTACTTTATTTTTACTTTTATCTCTTTTTTTTTTAATTTAATTATAGTTTAGTACTAAGACATAATAGTCACCTAATTAATTTTATTCTTTTTCAAATTCCTCCCTTAAAATTGAAAGTCTCACTTTGCAATTTATCGGTACACAAATAGAAAAATACAAATTCTTTTGCGACAACCTTCTTCTACAATCTGACTCGGCAATGGCAATTAAGAATTTGACGCTCTTCTTCAGTTATTTTAGTATTACCATACTCTTAATCTTGATTTCTTTAGTAAGTCTTTGATAATCTTAAGTTTGAATGTCGTTTTGATCACTGACCCTCTTTTTATTAAAAACTGAAATTTTAAAGTATGAAACATGCTTAATCAAACATATTCCCTTCCCATAGCACCCATTTGTGAAAAAATCTCTCTCTCTCTCTCTCTCTCTCTCTCTCTCTCTCTCTCTCTCTCTCTATATATATATATATATATATATATATATATATATATATATATATATATATATATGATGATAAGTCATCATAATTATTAAATTTTTAAAGGGTTGCATGCTGAATTTTATCGCTAGTAATTAGTATACAGTGGTACCCCCGTCGTGCTCAAATCCTGGGTCCGCCTCTGTTGATGCTCCTACATATAAAACAACATAATTTAGCTCAAACTTTTCACAATTAACCACTAAACTAACAAAATATAGAGTGAGTAATGTATTAAAAATATAGCATTTTGGCCTAGCATCATTGATGTGATGACCCGACCAGTCGTCTCATGAGTTACTGCTGTATTTTCTCCATTTCTGCTTCTTTATGCTTTTTTATCCGTGTTATGTGGTTTCGGGTTGGTCGGATCTAATCCCTCTAGCATCATTTGGTATGTGTTAGAGGGCTCGGATGTGAGTTACGATGGTTCGGTTAGCTTCGTGAGATAATTTGGGACTTAGGAGCGTGATCGGAATGAGTTTTGGAGGTTCGGAGTAGATTTAGGCTTGAATTCACAAAGTTTATATTTGGCGATTTTCGGTTGGTAGGCGAGATTTTGATCTAGAGGTCGGAATGGAATTCCAAGAGTTTTATTGTGTGCAAATTGGGATGTGTGTGCAAATTTTCAGGTCATTCGGATGTGGTTTGATTGGGTTTTTGATCAAAAGTGGAATTCAAAAGATTTTAGAAAATTTGGCTTGAATCCGACGTGTTTTCGGTGTTTTGATGTTGTTTGAGGTGTTTTGAAGATTGGTACAAGTTTGAATAAGGTTATGGAGTATGTTGGTATTTTCAATTAAGGTCCCGAGGGCCTCGGGGTGATCGGATGGTTGACGAAAGAGTTTGAGATTTTGAGAAGTTGTAGATTTTTGCTGCTTCTGGTGTTTCCGCACCTGCTGCTTGGAGACCGCATGTGCGATTCTGCAGATGCAGAAAAGGTGATCGTAGAAGCGGATAAAATGCATGGGAGGAAGGAACCGCAGATGCGGTTCTGGGAACCGCAACTGCGAAAGCATATATACGGAATTGGCATCGCAGATGCGGTTTTGGCTGAGTTAAATGAAAGCCTCAGAAGTGTCTCCTTGACCGCAAATGCGGTACTGCAGATGCGGTTGAAGTACCGCAGATGCGGAAATAACTGAGGTCAGAATGTTATATTTTCTCCTTCGCAATTTTCAGAGGGTTTCTTCACTTTTAAACACAAATTTTGGAGCTTTGGGCGATTTCGAAGAGAAAAGTCAAGGAGACTTCCTTAAGGAAAGGATTTTGGACCTAAAACTTATTTCTATGATAGTATTTCATGGATTAAGGCTGTAATTAAAGGAATTAAAGGGCTAAAAATTGGGGATTAGGGCTTGAGTTTAAGAGGCCTTTAAACGGGGATTTGAGGGGTCATTTGGACCCGATTTCAGTGTTCTTGATATGTATAGACTCGTGGGAGGATAAGGATTCCATTTATGTAAAATATTATCGAATTCCCAGATGTGGTCCCGGGAGCCTGGTTTTGGTAATTTTGGGATTGTGCCATTTGTTTATTATTTTCGCTTAGGCTTCATTCCCTTGGCATATTTTGACGTCCCCGTTTTGATTTTGACTAGATTCGACGCGAGTGGAGGATGATTTGAGGGGCAAAGGCGTCGCGGAGTAGTACTTTCACCGGTTTGAGTTAAATAACTATTGTAAATCTGGAATTGAGGATACAAACCCGGTATTTGACTTATTTTGAAAAATGCGGCGACGCACATGCTAGGTGATGAGCGTGTTGACGTGCACCGTAGGGATTGTGACTTGGCCCGTCCCGTAGCGACTATTAAGCCGCGTGTTTAGTTTGGAAATATTATATCATTCCGTATTTTGGATATTTATATTGTATTATGGATTGTATGGAATGTTTGGGGCCTTGTGCCGACCTGTAGAAACCCTTAGGGGCATTTTGACTATTTTCCTCACTTTATTTGCTAGAAGCATATTCTCAGTTATGTTTTACCTGTTCAAATGTTTAAAACTGGTTTTATTACTCTACTCCTAATCGTGAGGACTGTTTGGGCTGAGTTCCCTAATTTCTATTGTTGTGCCCGAGAGGCTGTGAGGTTAAGGACTGAGAGAGGTTGAGAAGCAATTTGTGAGGATATGTGTACATATGTGAGCTATGGATCAGGCTGCACGCCGCAACGATACTTATATGGATCAGGCTGCACATCGCAGTGATATATATATATATATATATATATATATATATATATTGGATCGGGATGCACGCCGCAGCGATATGACGCTAGGGTTGTTGGAGCCCCTCCGGAGTCTACACACCCCCAGTGAGCGTAGTCGACTATAAATATATGGATTAGGCTGCACGCCGCAACGGTTACTAAGATTTCTATTATTATGAGATACTAATGAGCTGAGTGCTGAGAGTGAGTACTGAGTGATGAGAGTTGAGTCACGACTGACTGAGAGGCTATCCGATGGGCCATATTCTGAGTGATTCCTTGCCCGAGGGGCTCGTTCATGACGATTTCACTCCTCTTTTAAATAAGTCTCTGTTGGAAATATTGCTAAGTATATGATTTCAAGTATTTTAAACTGAACATGTTGATTTATGACGAAATTGGTTTTTAAATTGTAACATTGATCAGATATCCTATTGATTATTCAGTTATATGTCTTATTCGAACTACTCGTCACTGCTTTCAGTCCTTATTTACTTTAGTTACTTACTGAGTTGGCGTACTCACGCTACTCCCTACACCTTGTGTGCAAATCCAGGTGCCCGAGTGGCAGAGTGAGGGTCCTCAGCTGATTCAGAGGTTGCAGAGATTTCAAGGTAGCTGCATGGCGTCCGCAACCCTGTTATCCCCTTCTTATCTTGTTCTACTTCCGCATTTTGCTAGACTTTTGTTGTATCAGATAGTCAGTTATGTAGTAGAGGCTCTAGACTCGTGACACCAGATATTTGGGGCTGTGTTGTCTTATGTTTTTATTGGATTCCGCATTATTTTAGATGTTGTAAACACTTCTTATGAAAACCGGTATTTAATCCTATGTTGGAAAATGGTTTTATAAAAGAAATTCGGTGTGATTGATGGTTTGGGTTGGCTTGCCTAGTAATATGATAGGCGCCATCACGATCGGTTATTTGGGGTCGTGACAACTGATCAACTGTAAATTTATTTAGCATTAGAGAACTACTCTGGTGAATAAAAATTGGATCAAATATGCGAACACTATCATCATCTTAAAATCTCAACGACTAGATGTTGATGCATAGAAGAGTTACATGCTATTGAAAAGTAGATGTGGTTACTTTGTGCCATGATTTCCATCAATGAGTATCGACTTAAACTAACTGTTCAGCCGAGCTGGATTTTTTCTTGCATTTATAAAGAAGGCCATATCAATCGAGTCATGTTCTTTCTTTCCGATTAGTATTTCCATAATTAAGAAAAATATGTTATCAAGTGAAGGAACTTCAGCATTTTTCTTGAATTTAAATAAACATCCATATATGAGCAGTCAAATGTTTATTAATTTTTATGACCAATTCTAAAATAATGAAACAAATCTTTACAACACAAAAGAAAAAGAAAAAAGTAATAGAATTAATTAACCAATTGACAAACACGATAAAAATAAAGAACTATCACTTGCTGCTCCATACTTAGGCGATGATCATCAAGAACACGGAAATTGGGAAAACAATCGAAGCAACAAATTTGGAAGGACTAATTATCCCAGAAGCAGCTGACGAGCCAGGGGAACCTGAAGGTGCAGTAGAAGGAGATCCCACTTCTGGTAGAACGTTAATGGCAACCTTCATTCCAAGTTGACAGTGATATTTTACTCCACAAAAGTACCATCTCTTCCCAGGAGATGTCAGCTCAATCACATCATTTCCAGAATTGAGGGGTTCATCATTAGAACCTGGTTTGCAATTTTGGAAGTCAGACAAATTTGCTTTATACACATTGTGAAGCCCTTGGTACTTGAAAACTGCACCATGCACCAATTTTTTGTTCATTATTAGGCCTTTTTTGACAGATTGAAGGAACACTAAGGCATAACATATGCAGAGTTTTAACTTCAATACAAGGTAGTGCGAAAAATAAAAAATTAGACTATCAGGTCACCCGAAATGATAATTACAGGTAAACTTTCATGATAAAACCAAAGATAGAGTTTAATTAAGTTTATGCTCTCACAGTATAATATTTATACGACCAGACCACCTATAAGGTAACTACAGATGAATATTTGTGATAAGTGTTAATAAATAACCTTGTAAAAATAGTAACCAACCCGCTCTTGCAAGTCATAATTCACTGGTAGTAAGAAAAAATATTTATATTGCGAGATAAAACTTAAATACTAAAAATAATAGTATGTTTACTGGTACAAATCGGGTAGGACTTCACACACAGCTAATGTATTTTTTTTTTACGTTGTTAGTGCATATAATTTAATCATACTCTTTTTCTTCCAATTCATATGACACACTTTTCTTTTTAATTTGTTCAAAAAAGAATTACACTTGTAAACTTGGAAACAATTAGTTGTACATTTCGTGCTTTACCCATGAGAAGCTTTTATAACCATATAAAATAAATATTATGGTATGTTTAGTGCCTCAAGTTCAAATATTTTATAGTCACACAAATGATATGATATGTTTAACACCATAAATTTTAGAAGTTTTTACTTCTTTCTTAAACTCTTTGTCTATTCAAATTATATCACCTAAATTGAAACGGAAGGAGTAACATTATATACTTATAAAAAGCTAAGGCATAATATATATATATCCAGAAAAGAATGAGGTTAAATAACATGTTGGTATTATTGTGTTCAAAATCAGAAAATTAGAGCAACAAACAAATGTTAGTTTAATAAACAAATCATAAAATAATTCCGAGCCCACTGAATGCACAGTGTGTACTTAAAGAATTTAATCCCCTCATTGTTTCCCAAGGTATACGAATTAATTCCTTCCAGGAGAGAACAGAATAACTATTATGTGATAGCGGCAATTCAAATTATAGAACATCAGCAAAATCAACAAACGGAGCAAATTACACATGACACTTATGTTTATTTAGAAAATAATACAACAATGTAGAAAAGAGAGGAGACGATTTCAGATTTTGCTTATCATAAAATTGAGGTCAAGCCTCTAAATTTATAGACAAAGGAAGGGTAAGATGGAGAGGTGCAATCCAAAAGGTGCCTCTTTCATTTTTCATTCACACCCTTTAAAGAAAAAACACAACAACCCCCCACATGAATGGGGAATGGACATATGTAAAACAAGCATGAAATCGCAAGTAAGGATTAATCGCATATGGATAAGTAGGTTTCCTTTTGAACTTTCCGTAGTGAACTCATGTCGGATATACTCGGTCAATCGGTAGATTTGATATCTTTGAACCGTCAAGCTTTGCTGAATACCTAGACAACCATAAGTCACATAATCAATCCTTAATCGTCTTTGGTTTTCACGGTTGTGTTCGTTTTAGACATGAACACTGCTGGATTTCTTTAGTGCTTAGAGAATGTGCCTTTACTTTCATTCCCCTTAAAGCGGCTAACACTTCACACTCACATAGGTGATTTCTAAACGTGTAATCCTATAAACACACTATCTGGTCATATCCTGCCAGACTTAGCAAATCATTAAAAAGCTTTAAGCTTTATTGACTCATCAAAAAGCCTTAATGCTTTACCTTGATTTCTAAACATTGTCATCATCACGAGAATGGGTTGAGTTATTTGACAATGTTGAATTGTCATTTATAACTTTGTTTGATCTCTTTTAACCTAGCTCTTGGGATCTCCAGTCTACTAGATAGAGTTACCGCCATGATGACTTGTCCTAGTCCTTAGCCCCATTTCCTTCGATGATCTTTCAACTGCCTTTCTAGATAGGCCTTTATAAGTGGATCCTACACGTTATCTCTTGACTTTATGTAGTCAACTATGATAACACCACTAGAGAGTAGTTGTCTAAAGGTATTGTGTCTTCTTTGAATATAATAAGATTTTCTGTTATACATAATGCTCCTTGCCCTACCTATTGCCGCTTGAATATCACCACAAAAATAGAATATCTTCCAAGAAATTCCAAAGTCATTTAGCTTCTTTACCGACCTTGTCTAAGGCTATAAACTCAGCCTCCACTATAGAGTGGTCAATGCACATTTGTTTGGACGATTTCCAAGATATCACTCCTCCACCGACTATTTAGAATCGGTTGAACCTATAATCTAATTTGCATCACTATACCCCTTTATTAATTGCGGGATAATTATTGTAGTGCACAACATGATTTAGAGTATATTTCAAATACTTCAAAACTCGTTTCATTGTCATGAAAGTTCAATGCAAACTTTCTTATGTTTTAGACTAATACGTCTCGACTTTCGATTACATATCGGATTATTGACTACACTTAATGTAGCAAAAATATATTATAACAACATCAGGAATGATTGGCATCAGTTATGTCCACAACCTTTTAATATATAACACATTTCGTAATCACTCCGCCATTTTCAAGCATTTGTATGCTATTTATTCATACTGTCACGACCCGAATTTTCCACCATCGGAATTCGTGATGGCGCCTACTCATAAAATCTAGACAAGCTGAGTGTTACAGATTTTATTACCCTTTTTCATTAACCTTTTAACAATTACAAATTAACATATGATCAACAGCGAAATAATAATAATAATAGAAAAGAAATGCGGAAGACGAAATCTAATAATTTAACTTAATAAAAATACGATTCCATAGAAATAATCCATCTAGAACTGGTGTCACAATCTCACAGACTATCTAAGAATACTACAAATAGGGTCTGAACAAAGAAAATACATGTCTGTCTCTAAAATAGAAAAAACAGAAAGAAGCAAGATAGGAAGGGGACGCCAAGGCCTGCGGACGCTTGTAGGACTACCTCGGGTCTCTGATGGACTAAAAGCAGCAACCCCTAGCTAAGGTCCATAACTCAAGTACCGAGATGTGCACAAAAGAGTGCAGAGTGTAGTATTAGTATAACCGATCCCATGTACTGAGTAAGTGTCGAGCCTAACCTTGACTAAGTAGTGACGAGGCTAGGACACAACAAATAACCTGCAGTTAAACAATATCTAACAGAATAACAGTAATAGAAGCAAATCAAAAGTAACGGAGAGGGATAACATCCTATGGGGAAATACCAACATAAAGAATCACATTAATAACAGAATGAAACAATTAAGGCACTTGAACCAATAACAACAAGAAATCATAACAAACTGGCAATAAGTGTATGGCATCACCCTTCGTACTTTTACTCTCGATCCTCACCATCAGTCAATAATGAAAATGTGCACGACATCACCCTTCATGCTTTATCTCTCTTCCTCACCATATGAATATTAGAAATGTGCATGACAACACCCTTCGTGTTTTATTTGTCTTCCTCACCATATGCATCAATATCAATGTAAATGTACACGGCATCACCCTTCGTGCTTTATCACTTTTTCCTCACCATATGCATAAGTATGAATGTGCACGACATCACCCTTCGTGCTTTATCACTCTTTCCTCACCTAAACAATAGCAACAACAACATCCTGGCAAGGGAATCAACAATAAGAATAAATACGTCCCGGCAATGGAATCAACAATAAGAATTAAATACGTCCCGACAAGGGAATCAACAATAAAAATTAAATATGTCCTGGCAAGGGAATCAACAATAAAAATTAAATATGTCCTGGCAAGGGAATCAGCTATAACCAAACTTGTACCAGCAATTAACTTCACAAATGAACCTCAACTAGAGCCAATGCTCAACAATAAACAAATATCAAGAAAATAATCATAAGTCTTGCTCAACATAGATAATCAACAATTTAGGCATTTGTAGTACTTATTAAGAATCACAATGACCACAATTTAAGACTCAAGGTCATGCTTGACACCAACATATAGATACTCGTCACCACACCTATATGTCGTATACTACACTACCACATAGAAAATAAGGCACAACACCTATTCCCTCAAGCTAAGGTTAGACCAAACACTTACCTCGAACTTCCACGACCAAACTCAAGCCTCAAACACCGCCTTTTCTTTTGATTCCACTTCCAATTCAATTGTATCTAGTCAATATTAACTTATTAACTTTAATAAATGCTAAAGAATTCAACTCCAATGCTAAATTATAGGTTTTCTATCATTTTCCCCAAAAAGTCAAAAATTGACCCCGGGCCCGCTTGGTCAAAACTCGAGGTTCAGACCAAAACCTGAATATCCATTCACCCACAAGCCCAAATATGCAATTAGTTTTGGAATCCGACCCTAAATCGAGGTCTAAATCCCCAAATTTGCAAAATCCCCAATTCTCTTAAAATCCCTAATTTGTACCCTTAAAGAACAAGATTTAGCCTAAATATCTAATGGGTGTTGATGAAAAATGAAGGAAATGAGTCTAAGAACACATACCTATGGTTTGGTGGTGAAATTCCCCATCTAAAATGTCCCAAGGTCTGATTTAGGGAAGAAGATATGAAATATGGCTAAATTCCCGTTCTAGTTCTGTTTTAAGTGTTGGGCGACAGTGTTCATTGCATTCGCGTGAGCACTATCACATTCGCGAAGAGCTGCCATCTGAGGACTTACGCGATCACGGGAGAAGCTACGCATTCGCAAAGGCTTAGCCCAGCCCTGACTTCGCAATCGCAATAAAGGGCGCGCGTTTGCATAGTGCTCCCCTAGGTTCCCTGACCAACCCATCCTAAAGCTACGCATTCGTGGTTGACCGGTCGCTTTTGCATAGAGCAGTCCCCCCCAATGCTCCACGTTTGCAACCTTGGTCTCGCGCTCTCGTTGGGTTACCCTCTCTAACCCAGTTTCCCTTTCGCGATCGTGAAGCATGGTGCATCAGACACCGGAAGCAGCAATCATACCAGATTTTCCTAAGTCAAAAAGACCCCGAAGCCTATCCGAAACTTACCCGAGCCCTTGGG